ATTTAGGTATACAACCTAAAATATACTAGACACATCTCTCACCATCATCGCTTAATCTCTAAGTTTAAGTCTAGAAATAATCATTATTCCTGGTTCACTTAAACTAATGCCCTGTTACCAACTGTGACATATCCTATTATTCAGAACCAAAATAAAAAAAACTTTTCTTTACGCTTTAAAAATCATAATATCTTTTTTTTTACGAAAAATCACAACAAAATAAAACATTTTGTAGAAACTGTATTGTTTTATTAAACTATATTGATTAAATATGTTGTTTTAAAATTTAAAAACCCTAAGGATGTCATAATCCATACACAACATATGTTACAATGTAAATACTTAACGGTCCTGAGCACTATTTCAGGTTGTCTCTTAATCAATCGACATCCTAATCAAGTTCCAAAAGCTTTAACTCTATTATATGTGATGCATATCATTTGTCTGCGTCAGGTTGGGAAACCTGGTGAGACACATAGGGTTTTCAATACCGCAATATTATTATGATAATAATTTATAATTATTAGACTTGAAAAACCAATTGTTGCCAAACAATATAGACATATCCCATAAATTATATATATATATATATATATATATATATATATATATATATATATATATATATATATATATATATATATGTATGTAACCTTACACCGATTCATTCAAATCCTAGTCCACAATTATCAGAAATAAACACATATCTTATGAATCATTTAGAGCAATGGTTTGAATACATAGCTAGAGGCTTCCTTGGCCAGTGTAAGTCATAAAGGCAATTTAAGCCATCATAGTATTTGATGAATAGGGTATCAAATTTCATATACGTCTGTGGCTTATATGTAACACCTGTAGATTCGAGCTAGTCAATTTAGAGATCATAAGTGTTAAAAATGACTTTTTAATAGAAGAGTATTTAGGATAAATAATCTTAATCAAGTCAAAATATATGTGACCAAGATTCCGTACATATAAAGAATGCTGAAAACTGATTTCGTATGAAGAAGTTATGCTTCTTCGAAGTTTCACGATTAAACCGGCACAGCTCTTTGTATCGTAAAAAGTGAATTTTCGATAAATTACTTTTTATCACAAGAGATATAAAAGAAATTTGTAGTAGTCGTGTATAAGAGGGTATTAGTAATGTAATGGAAACTACTAGAAACAAAGATAGTTGTTGAACTCAATAATATCTCTCCCTCTTCTCTGGGATTATCAAATTTTATGTGTTCCAATTGATCCTCTTGAAATGATCCTCCCGACCATATATGAAGGACTTGGATGCAAATGCATGAAAGAAACTTGAGAAAATATCAAATAGGTTTGAACATATATGCTGATGGTGGTGCCTAAACACACACCTGTTCTTTCGTCCTACGATGGACTTTCAGTCCTAACTCCTGAGTCATAAACACGAGCTTCATCGAAAACCCTGCTCCTTCCTAAATTGGTGAAAGGTCTAGTATGCTCAAGAATCATATTAAAGTGATATTGCCAATTAACATATGATACTAGTGGGCCACACTATCAACAACTTGATATAATTGATTATTTATTAGAAATTGATTTTAATAAATATTCAATAAAACTTTTATAATTAAATTGAAAATTATTTATTTCATGGAAATAATAATTTTCATTAGCAAGTAATATTACATAATTCATATGGTATGAATTAATAAGTTGTGTACAACTTTTTCGACTAGTTGAAACCCTTTTGTCTTTTACTCAAAAGACAAAGTTTATATTTTATAAAACGTAAGTTTATAAAATTTAAACCAACTCTTCTTTTTATATATATAATTCTGAAAATTAGAGGAAAAGAAAAGAGTCATGGGCTTTCTATTAGTTTTTTCAAAAGAAATGAAGCATAGGAGACATGTTTATGACATGGGGACATATGTGCTTAAAGTGTTAAGACCTAATGGTTAATACTTTCACTTTATGCATACAAATAAGTGGCTTGCATTCTTGAAAGGCTTGCTTCATTCCTCCCTATTAAAACTGTAACCTCCTTAGAGGAGGTTACTCTCTCCCTTTTTTTCTTCTTTTCTTCAAGAATACTTGCATCTTCATGCCCTCTTTAAGTTCATGTTGGTTATGAACTTAAAGCTTAAGGGTTTAAGAGTTTATGGACTAGCATCTACATCAAGTTGAGTCATTGTTGGTGTCTCAAAGGTTCCATATTCTTCATCAACTTCCAAGCCTCCCTTTGAGGATTCAAAGTCTACAAAGGTTGTTAAACACTTCTTCTTCTTTGGTGCTTATTTTTCTTTCCAAACATTGCAAGGAGATCCTTGGTGGGTATAAAATGTTATGTTATGTTCAAAATTTGAAGTCTTTCGTTGCCATATTTTTCTAGTTTATGAAACTATTTTTGAACTAAAACCCAACAATTGGTATCAGAGCCACCTTGCAAGTTTGGTTAGATTTTTTGATTTTTGGAAATCTTAGTTTTTGGAGAATATGGGTAACTTGTTTTTGTATAAAAATAAGTTCATACATATTTTCTATGACAACTTTATTTTTGTTATTTTATGTGACAAAAGTTTCATGCATCTTTTGTCATTTAAAGTTGTCTTAGAAAAACAAAGGTTGTTTTACGTGTATGTTGATGTATATTATCTGCATAAACTAGCCAATGACCATTATGATTGTTGTGTTGTTGTGTTTGTTGTTTTTATTATAAAAATAGTTGTAATAATTTATTTATTCATATGGTATGTAATAATTAAATAGATTAGTTTTTCTTGTTTATTTTTGTAATGTAATAGATTAGTTTTTAGAAATAATTTATTTGTACAAATATGTAACAAGAAATGAAGTTGGAGCCATTTTTTGAAGACAAAAGGGCAAAATTTCGAGTTCAACATGTGCTGGGCAGAAAGATGACACTTTCTGAAAAGTGTCAGGAATGCTACACATGTGCTGAACATGTCCTGAACAGAAAGATGACACTTTCTGAAAAGCGTCATGAAAGCTGAGATTTTTTCCCTTAAAGAAGCCCATCAAATCTTTTGAAATCAATAGGTGTTTACTTAGGTGGGAGCTTCTACAACATTATTACAAGAACATTTTTGGTCCTTTTAAATGTCCCTTTAGGAATGGACTTGGCATTTTTGTGTTGGCTCACATAAAATGTCATTAGTTGGTTATGTTTATGCACACACTAATGAAAATACGCTTTAATGACACGCGATGATTTATGATACGCATTTTTGTGTGTCCTTAAAAATTATGTCAGCCTTCCAAAATTTGAAGGATAGAGGACACACATTTGTGCGTGCCCTAAAATTATTGTCCCACAAAAAAAAATTACAAACACGGAGGGCGCTTATTTTAAATGTGTGTCCTCTGTGAATGTAGCTTTATAATTTCTTATTCAAAACGCGTGTTCTTAAAGGGGGAAAATGAAATCCTCTGAAATTCTAATTTTGAAATACCCGATTTCAAGATATCCCTTCATTCTCTTCTTCCATTCTATTTACAAACCCTAATCACGATACCATATCTACTTCAAGGCATGTACGTGACCATATATTTCTCCACCGCCTTCAACATTTTCTCAAAATCAAATCTCTCCATGAGAAGCAGGGTCTCGCCAACTGATGCCGCCCTGATCAGCATAAAGAATCCGTAAACGTGAAATAGAGGCAAGGGAAAGAACGAGACGGGGTGTTCATGAGGGGCAATCTCTTCTTTCATGAATCTGTTATTGTGTGCGGCGGATGTTATGGCCATGAAACTCCTGTGGGTTAGCTCGACACCCTTGATTCCCCCGGTTGTGCCGGATGAGTAAAGTATCCCCGCCGTATCGGGATGCTGTACATCTCCGCTTCAAGATATCCCATCTCTGCTTCAAGACACAAACATTGACATAAGTTCACCAGAAATCAGGTCATTGGTGATGGTCGATCGGTGAATATCGCCAGAATGTCAAAGAATCAACTCTATGATATCATGTCCTAAGTAATCACATCTCGTTCAAGCAAATGATCGAACAGCTTGTGTGCATTATCAATGTTTCCACGCTTGAAGTAAAGAGCTATCATGGAGCTCCTGAGATACTTCTCGGCGTGGGACATGGTTGAAATTTACAATTATACCCTTTACCCTTTATCATTTATTCAAATGTCTTTCTGGTTATTTCTTATATAAAGTTGAAAGTTGAAACACTTAATTCCTTTGTTGTAGGTGCAACAGCTGATTGGTGGTCTGTTGGCGTTATTATTTTTGAGCTGCTTGTAGGAATACCACCTTTTGTTGGGTTTTAATCTTGATAGGTTGTTATTTTAGTAGTGTTTTAATATTTAGTTTATCTAGTGAATTAAATAAATGGTAGTAGGTTGAAAGTGTCAATGAAGGACCGGGTATTAGGGAGTATTAGAAAGTTGGATGGTTGGTGGAAAGGTGGGCACGTGAGTTTACTATTTCCTCATAGAGTTTAGCATGTACTAGCTATAAATAGTCTCATATCTATTGAATATAGTGTGCAGTTTTTGAGTCACGATTACTTCTTTTCTCTATATATTTCTCATATATTAAACACAGGGCATTCTTCTTTAGTTTGTGTGGGAGTTGAGGGCCTGTTTTTCCAACACCTTTTAATGCAAAATCTCCATAGGTACTCACTCATTCACTCTCATAAAATCAAAATCCTCTTCTGATGCTTTGTTGAGAATGTAGATTGCATTGCATAAAAAGGTAATGAGCGTCTTCTCATTTTCTGAATTGGGTTACAGCAAGTTTTTTCCAACATTATGAACATAGATATACCATGGCCAAAGATCCCTGAGGAGATGAGCTATGAAGCATATGATTTGATTAATAAGTAAGTTTCTAGTTGTTTATCAATCAATTCAATCATATCACATATTCATACACGATACATAATTTCATCTTTTTTTTCTTAAAAGAACATAAATTATAAGAGAAGCGTGGGGTTGTTTCAGGCGACATTCATACCATCTGCTAAGACTCTGGACACGAATTATTTCATGAGCCAATATATTTGGAATCCAGAAGATGAGCATGTTGATGAATGCAATGATTTTGATGATATGTCTGATACAGGCAACACATGTGGTGATAGTTCTCTCAGCAATATGCTAGAGGAAGAGGTAATTAATACTAATATGTACACACACACACGCTGTTTTTATAATGAATTGGTATGTTCCTTTTGATGATTTGGTTGTTTGATTAAGCAGGGTGATGAATGTGGTAACCTGGCAGAATTTGGTGCTTCAACTCTCAATGTGAATTACTCATTCAGTAATTTCTCATTTAAGGTATGATGACATAAACTACACTTTTTCTATATATACAAATTATGATTTAAAGTCAAAACACATATTAATTTAACTTTTGTATTTTTGATGATCAGAACCTGTCTCAGCTGGCTTCTATCAATTACGACATGCTTGTAAAGAGTGCTCAAGACTCGATAGATAGTTCTACTAAACCAGTAGTACCATGAAAACCTACCTAATCAATCATATCCTATCATATCACTACTTCCATTTAGTTGCTGCTCCTGCTGGTACCTGCTTACTTCCTGGATCTGAATGCTTTACTTGTTCTCCTCTCAAGGGTCAAAACGATAACAATAATTTAATTATGAGATCATAGGAATTAATAGATTTCTAGATCATTCATTCATAGGAATTAACCCTTTGATTCAACTCGTAGAAAAATACTAAATTCTATCTTCCCTAATTTTCTTTTAAATTAAACCATCTTCTCTTGTACATATTCTTTTTTTTTAATTAGTTTCAGTACCAAATAAATAAATCTCAACTTTTGGTTTTCTCTGGGAGCCTTTCCTTTTTTTAACAGGGCAAAAAAAAGTAAACCAAAGCTTTGTTTTCCTCAAAAACACTGTACATGTGTCCATGGAGTTGCTGCTCCTTATGTGATGGACAACCTGCAAAGTTTACCAGACATGAATAGTGAAACACGTGGAATGGCTATAGAAGTTTACTAGACATGAATAGTGAAACACATGGAATGCCTTCATTTGTAGGTTATCATATTTTATTTTCTTCTCTGAAACCTTTTATTGGCTTAGTTGTGACCAAATTCTTGTTTTGCATTCTAGCAATGCGTTTCTTTGCAACCTAGTCATTCTCAGGCTCTCACTAATCTTGGAAATATATACATGGAATGGTATGGTTATAAAATTATATATGCAAGTTTATTTGTGAATTGTGATATACTTTTTGACAACTGTATTACATATTTACATAAAGTAGTAAAAGGTCTAAAATGGCTCTAAAATGAGGTTGTTGATATTGAGGAATATGATGAGTGCTGCTGCACAATGTTACAAGGCAACTTTAACTGTAACAACAGGATTGTCTGCTCCTTTTAACAATATGGTGATAATATACAAGCAGTAGGTAGCAAAATCTCTCTCTCTCTCTCTCTCTCACTTTAAATCAATAAGGACACTTGTCAAACAAAAAAACTTCCAGATCATGAATTGGTATGAATTCCTTGTGCTTTTGAAAAATGATTGGTACCAAAATCAAGTCTTTGCCGTGAATAGGTATGTTTGATGTTTGATCATTTACACAATGTGTTAACCACATTTTGTTGTTCAGGTCTTTTCCACCATTGGCCAAAAAGTATGTTCTCCAGTTGTTGTACATAGATGTACCTATGTCAGCCAGTTCATTGCAAGAATGGGTTCTTGTTGATGGTGCTTCAAAGCATAGAGTTACTGTTGATAGACTCATTCAATTGAGAGTATTTACTGAAACTGTTGATAGGTACATGTGTTTGCTTAATTCCATTTTACTTTTTTCTTTTCCAAACATAGTTCCCTTCACCTATCTGGTTTATTAAACCATTATGATTGACAACTTTTGGAAATGCCATTTATTGTGTATGGCCAATTGATGTTAGTTAAATACTTGAGTAACTTTGATTTTCAGAATTTTCAATCTTAAATATGTTGTGGTATTTATTCATACTTGTAATTTTGATAATGGCAGTGGGTCTGAAATTTATGTATTTGAGGAACTCGATAAAAAAAAGGCAGGAAGAAGAGCTAGTATACCCTTTTTACATTGAATGCTCTTCAATCTATTTTACTTTAACCTATAAAAAAGGCATCATGCATTTGTCTGTTGAGTTTGATTAATAATAATAAGTAAAATTGTGCAGGCTTTGGGGAAACAGGTGGTATCAGAACAAGGGGGGCCAAGTGGTGAAATCACACCTCCCCTTCCTTCTATACTTGTAACAGAAGATGAGGTTGTTATACCTGGATATGGAGGTAAAAGGAAGAGTGAGCTTGGGAACTTGGACACACATAATTATGGAAGAGGAAAGCGAGCAAGGGAGGTTTTTTTGTTTTCCAACTTATATATTTTGGTGCATTTTTTTGTTTGAATCCCTGTTATAATTTTTGTTATTACTTTACTTAGGTGTGATCTTATGAGGAGCAATGGACAGAAGATGAATTTGAGAAAATGTGTCAAGTCAAAGCACCAGAGTCACCAAACACCACCAAGGAAAAAGGGCACTTGGCTGGTGGACAACAGCCCAGTACACCAGGTGGCAAACCAAAGATATGGAGGATTTTTTTGGCATGATATCTGAAACAAGAAGGTGCCCCTTAATAGAAATGTAGTATTAGGTTATATAGTTAGGGAAAACCTTTTAGTAACAATGTACAATCAGATCCTCCTAATATCAATGTATTATAATTTTTTGACATGATGTTATTGGATGAAATTGATTGTTTTGGTATATATTTGTTTCCATATTTTTGTATTATGTGTAAATGAGTATCGTAAAGACGCGTCGTAAATGGTTGTTGAAGTTTATGACACGCAAATGCGTGTCATCTTCATTTATGAAAGGGGCTTTAATGATACGTAATGCGTGTCCTAAACGTGTGTCATATGGTTACGACACGCAAATGCGTGTCATCTTCTTTTATGACAGGGCCTTCCTTGACACGCAATGCGTGTCGTAAATGCGTGTCGTAATTGCGTATCATAAATGCGTGTCGTAAATTGATGATGCGCAAAAGTGTGTCTTCTTTCGTTATGACAGTGTCTTCCTTGACACACATTTGCGTGTCGTCTGAGCATTTTACGACACACAATGCGTGTCGTAAAAGGCTGTTTTTGTAGTAGTGACATATCTTTTTATGCATGTTTGTGCTGTTTATTTTATGCAATTATTATGTGTGGTTGATAAATTAGTTTTTCACATGCTTAAATAATTTTGGAAAAAATAAACATCACATGGCGTTTGGGTTTTCAAAATTGAACATAAGATGTAACAAGTTATTATTTTAAAAATAAAATCCGGTTTTATAAAATCGTTAATAACGACAAATTTTGAAATAGTCCATTATAAGTTTTAAAATGGTGATTTTTTGTAACTTATACAAAATCCATATATATATATATATATATATATATATATATATATATATATATATATATATATATAAGTAATAAAATGAGGTTTTATTAAAGATATATAAGGTTCAAATGCACTCAAAATTAATACCGGTTATTAAAATTGAATTGTGTCAAATTATATAAAAACTAGCTTTTTTATATAAAACCTTTAAAAGTGATTTTCTTTTGAAAATTGATACCATGGTTTATTATATGCATGTAATAACCATGATATCATATGTTTTTAAACTAGAATTATAAAACATATAAAGACCCTTTTTACAAACCTAAAATCTATGCAATCCTTTTGAAAAACACTCGCACATCTCTTATATGCACTAGTGGGATAAATGATACCTAACCACTTAGTGTTGTCTTTTGATGGCCAGAGTGTCTTCGCGATTTCTATAACCAAGTTATAGGCCGATTACACAAGTTTTTCAAGTTGGATGATTTGATCGGAAATCTTTTGTGATAAAGGATACGTAAGAAAGAGAGTTCCGAGGCATAGATGGGATCAAACATGTCTAATTAAATTTGTTATTAGAGATCCCATAAATCTAAGAATTATATAGCAATATATAATTGATAATCGATATTTACCGGGTTGAAAACAAATGGATGGGATAAATGATACCTAACCATTTATTTGTTTTGCAACTTCGATCATAGACTTTGATAATTAATGTTTTTGGAAACTAAAAGGGTATTAATTATTAAAGATTAAATATTGAAAATACTAAATGAATTTTATTAAATTATTGTAGTTTAATAATCCAATCTAATTATCATGAATTGTCATTTTCTTTAATGACTAAATGAAACAATAACATTCAATAGATACAACTTCAATGAATGAGTTCATGTCTTAAGAGACAATCTCGTGAGCGATATGAAATTGTATACACTTAAAGGTCCTAGTCCTAAACTATTTGCTTTGAGCAATAAACGTGAACATGATACCTAGTAAACGCATCATTGTGATGCTAAAGATGCTTCTAACATCAAGATAGGAATAGTTATTCATGACTTCTAGGAAGTCTAGGATAATTTAAACATATATTTGATGATATAATAGGTCAAGCAATATTCCAATAAATACAATGATATTTTATTTAAAAGGCTAGTTTAAACATTGGAATAATGCAAGGCTAAAAGAATCACCTTGTGTGATCCAGGAGGCCCATGTTTTATGGATTGAACACCTTTAAACCCAAGAAATCTACTAAAGCCCACATAGATGGATCTTGTTTCTTTTGTGAAGAAACTGGACACTGGAAAAGGATTTACTCCTCTCATTTGGAAAGAAAGTCTGGAAGAGACTAGTACTTCTAGTATATACTAGATAGAACTCATACTTTTCATATAACACTTAGGTAGTTGGTACTTAAATGTTAATCTAATATTTGTAAATGGCTTCAAAATATTTTGATTGAAGAGTAACCAAGCTGAGCACAATCAAGTTAGAACTACACTCTAGTAGTTTAGTGTATTATTTATTCTTAGAACATAAATTACTTGTAATATAAAAAAATATTTGTTTTGGAACAATGTATGTTTTAATTTAGCATGTCTAAGTTTATGTCTCAGTTATTTTATTCAAATGTTTGATCATTTACTTAATCATTTTTCATAACGATAATATTCATATTCGGAAATGATTAACTTCTATTTATGAGACTAGATCTCTCAATAGAATTGCAAAGTAAATATCAACATTTTATAAATATAATCAAGTTCTATATACGAGCACTTTTGACATAAACTTGTTTTAAATCAAACTCATCTTGGACACTGTTATCTTTATTATATAAATGGCAATCACATATTCCAACTTCAAGAAAAGGATCTTTGAAGGCAAATACTGTAGTTTATTTGACATATGTGAACCTTATTTATATGTAAAGGATTCCTAATGATATTTTCACTAAAGTGTAGAGAAAATAATTAAGGAACTATACACTTTGGTATATGACTTCCATTCTAATGAATGTATGAGATTATACACAAGATACCAAATTAACTTTATTAGCAACTATAGTAGTTTTAATTATAT